TTTTCAGTAAATGGATATAATTTTCTCTGCTTTACCCTATTATTATTCTTCGTTAGCATCACCAAGCTACAATTCTAACTGCAGATATTTCTCCCCCAGCAATTATCTTCCTCACAGAAGCAACTCAGCTAAGTTAAAAGACATCTAATTCAGCATATCAGACTTAAAAAGCAGCAAAGACATTTCAGAAAAGAAGGAAAGTCTATAAAAGTGAGTTTCATTTGGAAAAAAAACACCAAATAATGGCTGTGTTCATATGATCAGTGGAGAAAGAACCTATGGTGACTTCCTTTCCTCACTCCATAGAAGCTGGTTATGCACCACATGATTTCCCTCATTGCCTTGTGGCACATGGGTTGTCATCTGAACCTTGCAAGGTGTATAATGCAGCCGACTTCCAAACCACCCCCAAACACATGGCTTGTGCAGGGCTCCAGGGTGATTTGGAAGCCACCCCCTGCGGTGCACATCACTGTGTTTGAACAACACAGTAAATCACCATCTAGGCTTCTTTTCCCCAGTGAGAGCACAACCCAGCCAATGACTGCTGTGTACAAATCACAGGACTAATCCCAGTTCTGATAAAAGTAAGGGGCGGGAATCGGCCCAGCTATGCAATGTTCAGGAATGATATCTGCAGCTAGACAGACAGAGCCCCTTCATGCAGTGCTTTTTTGCCATGAGAGCAGTCTCAGCCTTCCTCAGGCACACGCTCGTGTGAACACCAGGCAAGTTCATACACTGACCGAAATGAGGCTTTTCTCCAGAGAGGAGGCGCAGGCACGCACCACCGTCACCCTGTGCATAAAGCAACGAGTGACCTGGGTGTCTGATTTTAGGAGATCTTCCTCCTTAAAATGTGGGAGATTGCCAAAATCAAATGTGCATAAATATCAGCCAACATTCAGGGAGTTAAAATCCTAAACTATCATATAAGCATTGGATTACGAAGTGGGTGGCTGCCTGCTACTCTTTCACATTCAGGGAATCCTCAGCCAGGTAAGTGTGCAAAGAGTCTCCATTTCTATAATGGCAGCAGCATTTTTCCACTGTCACCACTACAGGAGATGGTTATAGCCATGAAAATCAATGAAAATATGTGTGGCCATGAGACTGTATAATGAAGATAGCTAAGACCAGTCTCTCTTTCTCCCCCTGCCCCCGCCCTGCAGAGATAGAGAGAGAGAAAAACAAAGTACAAACCATTGTATAGTTTCTGTTTTGATCAAGAGAAATGTACCTTTTCCCACATCACAGGCAGGAGATTTTCCACCTATTACTACAGGACAGTGATGAACTAACTTAAAATTCTACTTTCTTCAGAACTATTAAGGACATGAAATCCCCATTCCTCCCTGAAGATGAAAACGTACCTTGTACCTCCACTCTTATATATGCCATTTGTATATACAAAAAGCAAAGGGTTGGAGCCAGAGTTAGTCAGATTATCCGTCTGAAATCAGCAGGGCTAGCATGAGGCATGACTCACATACGTCTATTTTTTTCAATTGGTCTGCTCCAAGTATGAGTTAAGTCTGGAGTGGACCACAATTCTGAGGTAGATGTAAGTTCACTGAAATCAAGAGCACTTAACTTGCAATTCAGCATATTTACATTGATTTATACCTGCTTTTCTTCTATATGTTCTTATCCTCACTATTAAGGGAAACCCAGTTGAAGCTATAGTAACTAAACATCATACTAAAATTTTGTAGAGACCTTTAAACAGGAAAATTAATGAATAACACTCTGATTTAAAAATGTTCTCTATAGAAGATCACCTATGCCAGTAAATTAAAAAATACAACAGTCTGTTTGCACTTTTGAAGAGTCATCAAACTTTAACAAAAAACTTATTTTTATTTTTGTCATTAAAAGTTCAATAATTTCAGTTAACCCCTTCCCACAAATAGAGATCCAAGCTATCTAAATTGCAATAAATAGGAAATATTTTTAAAGCCATTATAGTTTTACTTCTAAAAGTGCAATAGTCTGTGTTATGGGCTTCATCTGGAAACTTTTCAGCTACAAATTAAGTGTTGCCTGTATGAATAGCTGAATTATGTTACCTGCATGACTAGCTAGATTAGGGAAATCAATTACATACATACAAATGGAATGAAAAATGATTTCAATTTGATTTGTTCTACAGGAAGCAGTATAGTTAAACATTAATTTCTGCCATAATAAAATGAATTCAAAAGCATTTTTAAAAATATCTTTGGATGACAAAGCATTACGTGCATGAGTGTGTTGAGTGTGACTCATGAGTGTGAGACTATATATGCATTTTAGCAAAAATCTGCACATATGTATATGCATTTTAGCAAAAATCTGCAGACTATTATCATTTGCTTCAATGTTAGGATCTGTTCCTTAAAGAGTTACCTTCCTTGCTGAAATGAATGAACAGTCCACTCACATGGAATTTCATGCATCCAAGCATTCACAATCGCTTTACACCACTGGACAAATAGTATGTTTTACAGCACTATGTGTTTCTCTACTCAAAGCTGTTAATCCACTGCAATTACTTTTGGTTTTGCTGCAGTACTAAGATCTGAGCACTACATGAGTGCTTTCTTTCCTGCTTTTCCCCATATAACCTCTAGATGGAATTTTGGTACATCAGTATAGTGTGAGTACACAACTGGAAACTGCATTTTCTTTTGCCATCAGAAGCAATACCTCCTTTCCTCTGCTCTAAAACTACTTGCTGAAAGTGCAGTTTGCAAACGGAAGTGAAACCAGAGGAACACGATTATTTCCTAAAGAAGCTGTTAGTATGTCAAGTGCACAATAAATGTCTTGTAGAGAAAAGCTCCATAGCTCTGATGACAGGTCTGCACTACTGGAAAATGAAATATAATTTGACTACATTCTGTAATCATTTACACAACAGCATGAACATGGACTTAGACTGGACTCTTAATTGCTGAAATCCTCAAACTGCTTACTTTAAGATGATTCTACAGAAGTGAAAATGATGATTGCCAAAAAGAAAACAAGTTTGAGAAATGCCATAAAGACCTTTGGGCACAGAGTTTTCATCTAAATCTTAGCGCTAAAATATGACAAATTTTGATATATTTAAAAAATGCATACCTCTTCCACTTCTACCCACAAATCTCAGGTCATTGAATCTTGCAACTTGATTCTTCATGGCTGCAGTGGCATTTCTGAGTTCTGCAGAGTAGTTTTCATCATTTCCAGCCATTACTGTGACCAAAGTCCCATCAGGGACATCTCCTAATGCCACCACCTGAAAGATTAAACAGAACAATCCTGAAGGTAATTTGAATATGTGAACTTTATCTAAATGAATATGAAGAACTCACATTGCACAAACCAAGAAAAAACATGTGCAGGTTAATTTGGACTAAATAAGTTACATTTAGACCCCTCTGAAACCAGTGAGATTTAAGTGATACTTAACTTTTCATACTGATTTCAGTAGAACCCGGGAGAAATTGACTCAGTCTGGATCATTAGGTAAATGAAAAGTTGTGATGCAAACGCACAGGCTAATTGAGCACAGCAGAGCACAGTAAATCTCAATCTCAAGTATTTCCTTGGGGAAAGGCTTCATTTCCATAAAACCAGCACAAGGGATGCTGCACTGATGTGGTGACTAAATGCAGGACATCATGATGCGCTTCTACTGTGTCAGTAACAGAATCAGGATGCCCATTGGTGCTTCTGTGCAAAGCTATATTCTTGCAAAAATAATGACTAAAGAGAGAGCTGACATAAGCAGGGATAGCAAAGGACTGAAGAGACTGCTCATATGTCACTGCAAGCGTAAGCTCGCCAGAAAATGCTCATCTACATCAGCAGGACCTTCCTGTGGTGCAGATGTAGTAGTGAACATAGATCTAAGTTCAAGTATTTCTGCCATGGACTTTCTGGGTTGGATTCAAACTTCCTCATGCTTAGAGTGGTCCCATCAAAGTCAACTGGACTTAGGTCAGACATGACTAACTTGTTCCATTTGTTTCAGTTGGGTTCTAAGAATAACTAATTCTAAATCAAATGCACTGAGAGTGCTTTTAGATTACTAAATGCAAAGGGAGAAAATGCTGCAGTACTTCTTCTTTTGTCCTCATGCAATAACCAAAGAAGCTAGCCGTACATTTTCTCCATTTTCTCTTGATGCAGGAGGCATACTTGTGCATTCATCCCACAGAAAATGCATGATTCCCTTTCACCTGCTGCAATAGGAAGCAGAGAACATTCTTTCCCACACTTTCGGTCATTGTAGCAGCTCTGTATATCCCTCAGTCTCACTTCTTCCCGACTACAGGATAAGTGTAAGAGTGAGCTGTCTCTCAAGGAGATCCTTGCACATCAAAAATGCAGTGTAAATGATTTACAGTGAACAAAGAGATTGTTCATCATGGGATTGCTGAGGCATTATAATTTGTCACATTCACTTTCAGAAAATGCTGGGGAAGCTGTATTCGCTAAGGAAGTTGCCTTCACTTGGTGTTTTCCTACCTCTGAAAATTTAATCTATTTTTGACTTCAAATAATCTCCCCATTGTATTGGTGACTTTCTCATTACTAATTTAATGTATAATTTAACCACTTCCCCTCTAATTTTCTGTCTAATAACACTGAACAACATGCCTTTAGAGGTTCTTGATGTTTCCCTGTTGTTCCTGTTCTGTGGTTGAGGGTGCAATCCTATGCAAATGTGTGACATGCTGGGAGTTGTGGGACATTTGGTCTAAACATTTAATTTTTAATCTTATTCTGCCATTATTTTTTCCTCTAGTGGGTTCCCCTATCACGGTGCTATTGCTGTAATGTGCCTTCTCACTGCGCTTCCTCTCATGCACATGCTGCCTTGACATCTGGTTGAAATCTGCAGCACGTACTTCCACCTAACACTTCCACATAACATACAATCAGAGTGTTCAAACTCCCGTAACTGCTGAAGGTTCACAAGTCTCTTTTTAATTCTGACACTGCATTCCTCATTTGAGTTTGACCCACATGTTCCAGGCAAGCTACAACACATATTCGCTTTTGGTGAAAGCTCCTATGTGTTGAGATTTCTGTTTTGTGTGGATATTCTGCTTTCCTCTGTCCAATCATCTTTTATCCTGTTCTGTTAATGGAATGCCATAGTCCATGCACTTTTTCACATGCACCCATTCCTGTTCCACTCTGCACCCCCATCTTCTTTGTTAAAATGCACACCGAGGTTAGTCAAATGTTTATGGAAAAAGCAGAAACCAGAAAAAGGTGTATGGGTAAACAAGGCAGATCCTTCTCACAAGAACTATGCAATTTTCCCATAAAATGTGCCATTCAGTTTTCATCCTGAAAGTATATAGAATTCAAAAGCATATGTCTGCCCACTTCTGATTCTGTTGTCCAAATGACCCTTGGTCTGATAGCACTCAGATTCATTGCCACAGATGTTCAGGCAGTCTCTCTGGGGGCACGTATACCAAAAAAGTTTTGGCCAAGGTAGTGCTCAGTACTGAGGTACCAGGGTTCAGGCCCAAGGGACAGAAACTGTGCAAATCTGCATATGTTAATTTGTGCATGCTCCAAAGTCTCTCTGTGTGCCTGCTTCTTCAAAAGATCCCTATTTGTAAAAAGGGGTGTATGGATGGGAGAGAAAAAAGGTGTTTGATGTCACGGGGGAAAATCCCTCAGGCAGAAAGATTCAAAGGTGGGGTGGGGAGCAGGATGTGAGACACCTGCTGGCAAAAAGCCAGCTAATCCGGGGGAGCAGATGCAACAGAGTTCATGAAGGCCCCAGGACTGTTATTTGAACAAGTACCTGTGGACAGACAGAGCAGTGAGGCAGATGAACTCCCAGAGATTCAGTGCTCCAACACTAGTGGGCCACCTCCTATCACTTTCCCCTGAAAGCTGCAGAAACCTCTGGAATGAAGGATCATAAAAGTTGACTAAGTATGGCATGGCATTAATGGAATTCCCTCCTTATTGCTGCTGTTGTTATTTTAAAAGGAAATACACCTAATGCTGCAACCCTATCCGCATTTATTTGGTCTCAGTGCCACTGAAATACTGGATCCTATGGCTGAATAAGCTTGGTTAGGGCTACGCTATATGGGTGAAATCCTGAACACAGTTAGTAGAAAATAAGCCCCTTTTAACACAGGGTGGTACATATTTGAGTAAATCCAGTTGTTCTGTTCCTAACCATACTTATTGAAAAGAATGGGTCTTACTTCTCACTAATACTTCCACACAAAATAAATATAAAAATTTATCAGATTACATATTCATTCACTAATTATTATTTTCCTATTCAATTTGTTTTAAGACATTAACAATTTGACAGTCCACCAATATTGCTCAAGATGCAGTATTTTACATCTTTCCAGTGGTGGCAAAATCATAGTTGTACAAAGCCATAAACTATAGTGTTAGAAATGAAAAGAACACATTTTAAAGAAATATTATTTGACACTACGCATGTCTCTTTGTATAGACATACTAGTTATTAAAAAAAACCTCAAATACAAGAGGAACATTTTTGCCTGTTTAAAAAATCTACAAAAAAAGTATATTTTCAGCTCTGTATATATACAACATGATACTGGAAACTCTAGTGAGCTATGAAAGAAAAAGAAGTCTGTGGGCCCAGAAGAGAGTGACTTGTAAGTAAGGCTGTAAAAGAAGCATAGAAACACAAACATTTACATTATAAAACAGACTAAACAGATAAGCAAGAACTTGCTGACTGGAGATAGCTAATATTTTGCTAGACTGCTCAGTTTATAAAAATATATTTTACGCAAGCTGAATGGTGTATCAACAGTTCGAAACCACAGCACAATTAGATCTTCCCAATTTACCCAGCTAGCAAGCAAAAATAAAATTACGTGAAGGAGGGGGAAGATTACTCTAACGTATACTATTTTATTATAGTTTGACATGTAACCAATAGTCATAATTTATTCACTTTTTTCATTTAATTTATCTATTTTATTTATAAAGGAAATCCTGGGTTTCCAGAGTGATTTGGGTAATGTTATGTGGAATTTTCTCTGAAGATGTGATCTATAGGTCAATTAAACCTGAATACTCAAATTTAAAATAACTTAATTCAGTTCAGCACTCTTTCTCAGTTTTATTATCATCAGTAGTAGCATTTTACAATAATGAATAGTTTTTCATTGTAAAGGTACTGTGGAAGAGAATCAAGGAAGTTACCTGTAGCAACTGGTAGAATTACCACCAGTTGGCACAAGATCATGGGCAGTCCATTTTACAAGCATAAATGTATTTACTCAGAAGTAAGCCCTACTGAGAAGCACACCCTTATTTAAAAGTCAGCAAAACTTACTTCTAAGTAAAGAAATTTAGAACTATTGTGCAAATCTGCAAATCTAAGCACACTTGCCTGCAAATACATTTTATTGAAAAAAATAGTATCCACATCCAACAAAGTACATTTAAGAAGGGAATGCAAAGCCAAGTATTCTCACTTTGCAGGTCTGGACTTTGTGGGCAGCAACTGTGTAGTTACTGTGGGTGCTTTAGTACCTAATAACAATGCCAGGAAACTTATCAGTAGTTTTATTTAAAAGCAGAGCCATTTGGGTCTTTGGCTTTCCTAGAACTCATTTACAAGAAGCTGACTGTGGAACGTCAGCCCAAGAATGCCAACAAGCAAGCTCTTATGGAAGCAGGTATTTGGAAAAGTAACTAGATGCCATTAGTTCCCCCCTAAAATTATTCAAATACCACCACCACAACCACCTGCTTTCTGGAAAGTATCTGGTTAGACCTACAAAGAAGGGCTATGTATAAGCAATAGCAACAACCAAGCTCAGTTACAGCCTTCTTTAAAGGGAGGATTTTAAGGGGTGGAGGCTAAAAAAGACATGTAGGATGAGAAATTGATTTGGGGAACTGCTCGCTGCTCCAGAAGTTTCAGAGGCATTCCTCTCTCCTTTTCCTTTTCAATATTCTTCTTTAATCTCTCTTCCCATTCCTATTTTGATTTCAGTTGAAAGCACTGATTTTTGTGGTCTTAGCTTGTAGTCCTGCACACACAACTTACTGTGCAGCAACTTCCACTGAATTCCATGGTAATTACTCTTGAATAGATGTTTTATATATGTGTGTGTGTGTACTTTAAAAGGAAGGTGCAGGACTGGACGTTGCATGCATGTATGCGCAGACACAAACAGACGCACACTTTTTGAGCAAAAAAGGGCACTCTTTCTTGACATTACTCCTTCACTCTGTTCGATGGTTGCTTTCTACCTTCTTCATCCGACCTTTGAGAGCTTTGTTTTGTTTTGTTCTTTAACCTATCAAACTTCATCTTTAAAGCGAGAACCCGGAGAGTTTACGGACAGTTTTCAAAGCTGGAGTGGGTGGGAGAAAGGCGAAATCAAGGGAGAAGCGGGAACTCTTTTTCATCCTGCTCGGCTGCCACTTAAAACAGATCTGGACAGGTAATCGGATTTTGATGTCGTGGTTCTTTAAAAGCTCTGCTCAAATTCGAAGGGGATGAGCCACGCACGAACTGGTTGGTGGCTGTCAGTCTTCAAGGGCGCGCGGAAACGTGAAGCCTGCGAAGGAGAGGCCATCGCTTCTTGAGATGCCCCTGGACAGGGAAGGGTGCACGGAATACTTGAAAGACTTAGTAGGCGGCCTAATTCAGAGAGCGGCTTCCCCACAGCATAAGCTACAACGGCCACGTAAGCTTACTGTTAGGCTGGCTCGATGGAAAAATAATCGGGACGCTAGGAGCTTCCCTTTGTGAAGACCCCCGATCCCTGTGTCTGGAAAGCAATTCCAGGCGGAAGGAATGGTGCACCAGGGGAGCTGATTGCGAAGGCGAGGCCAAGTGTATAGTGTCGAGAGCTGCGAGGCAACGCTTCTCCCGGAAGGTTGTGTGTTGCTCGTAGAGGCACGCTCTTGATCCCGGGACTTAGGTCCGGACGAGCGCGGGGGGGTCAGGCAGTTCACAAGCGGGGCATTCACATTCACACTTCCCCGCCGCAAAATCTAACGCATCTCCCTCGCTACCACCGCGGCCAGGACATGGCTCGGCCTTGAGGCTCAAGTGGCACTTTAACTCTCGACGGTGTGAATGGGAAGATGATTCTCAGTGATCCCCGAAGTCTAGCTCCGGCACGCTTTCGGAGAAGCGAGAATAATACTGCAGCCCACGGAGCTGCGATGAATTTTAAGGGGAGGGGTACCTGTTCCAAGGAAGTGAGCGCGCTTAGGGCCGGCGTACCTTGACCCATCAGCGTCCATGTTCAGAAGGAAACCCCGCTCTTAGTTCAGTGGGGCTTCCTCGCGGCGAGTCCCGTCAACGTGCCCCTTTGCAGGCGGCAGCTCGGAAGCTGAGAAGCACGGGCAAGAAAGCTGCTCCGGCGAGCGCGCTCCTTTCGCCCGGCACAGTGGAGCGCAGCCGGAGTTACGCGGGATTAAGCACTGGCAGAGAGAAAGCAAGCGAGGAAACGCTAGCAAGTAGAAGGCCTCGCGAATTCGGCAAGTGACCGGTTCACAAACAACAAACTGTAAACTTGGATTTTAGGGGGACCCCACCATTAAAAAAAAGGGGGGGCATCTTGCTTGGCTCTTCTATGACTCCAAGATGGTTTGGGGAAATCAGACTAGTCCAAAGGGTGTCATGTGAAGCAAGATGTGATCTACCTAAACCCATTTGCCGCTGAAATCTATGAGCCGCCTTTTCTTGCAAGCAGGTTGTTCAGAAATGGGACACGACCTTTTACTTTGAGCCTTCTCCCTCTGCTATTAAGGATCAAGCCCGAGGACTACTCGCCTCTCTTCAAAAAAGTCAACCAAGCGCCAAACCACTGCAGAGGTCAAAGCAGTTATTCCAGGGGGGCTTCCACGATACATTTTGCCAAGTAAAGCGCTCCCTTGGGTTGTTGCCAGGCGGCTGGATCTACAAGCAAACTCGCTCGCCTGACGTGCTTCGATTTAACTCGTTCGTGGGAGGCTGCTTAAGAAGGCCAAGGCACGCTTGCTTACTAATTTTTCCCCAGGTTTTCCTTCATGTAAAGGTATTTGCAGTAGAACCCTATACGGGTGTCTGATGAGAAGTAAGCACCACTGAAGTCAACGGGGCTTCGGGCCCAGACAGACCTTACTTTCAACGTATGCATGGTCGTGATGGTCCCCCCCCCCCGTTGCATCTACTGGTGGCCCAAGGGGGCTGATCCGAATCTTAAGGGGTCCCCTACCAATGACAATAGGGTCTCAGTACAGATGGGGACCCTGAACTTATGGTTGAGTAAAAATGTTAGCATAATCATGCTTGAACCTGGTCCAAGCTTTGGACTGTGGGTGTCCTCAACATATGGGATTAGACTAAAACCAAAGAATTCCCACCAACCCTTTGAGTACCCCTGGCCCCCTCCACACACACACACACACACACACACACACACACACACCCCTCTGTTGGCTTCCCTTCCCTCTTTAGGCATCTGCAGGTGCTTTGGATTCAGCCGGACTGCAAATAATTGGACTGTCACAGCCCTAGGCTTGCACTGCTGTGTGACTAGTGAGAGGCAGTCCCTGCTCCTGCTCAAATAAGTAGCACAATTCCTGTTTCAGTCGCATCCTTCCCTGGCCAATGGTGGCCAATTCAGGGTGCAAAACTACCTAATCTGGACCTTTCTCTGGGAAGGACATTGGGGGAGGTTGTGTTCCTTCCAACAAGAGACAAAATCCATACCAGTAATTAAATATACCCATGCCAAACAGTTGTGTTTTTTTTAACAGTACTACTCTTGCAGCCCAATCTTATATGTAAGGGCTTTCTCATATTTAAGTGCTCTTAGTTTGTGGCTTAGGCTGATTTGTGAATGAACTGCAGGAACTAGAAGGAAGAAACTTTTTTCCTCCTACTTTGATTTGAGTAGGAGGAAAGTACACTGTGGGGACAAAATCAACATTGGTATATGAAAGAAGAGGCCCCTTTTGTGTTCACAGCTTGCTATGTTTGGAAGAGGCAGTGAAAATGATTTAGGAAGCACTGGTAATAGAAATACTTGAAGGTAGATTTGATAACTAAAGAAGCTGTGTGTAAGAGAGAGAGAGAGACTTTGTGTGAAGAACAACATCTCACTTAATCTAAAGAATCATTTACTGGAAGTAAGGACTCAGTCGTAAGAGCACTTGGAGATTTATCTGAATTTGCAGGACTTGCTTCCAAATGAAGAAATTTCAGTCTACTCTGTAAGTAGATCTCACTTCCTACAATGAACCTTTAATAGTGTCAGCCAAATATTCAAGGATTAGCATGTCAGTAAATATTCTCCTCCCTCTCTCACCTGGGAAAAAAGCTACAGTGGACAACACCACTCCCACAAAATAAATGCACTACTTCATTCATAAGGCAGTAGCACTGAAATAATAAGAAAGAAACCCCTTGGGTGTGTGTAAATTGATTTAGATCCCTCTCAGTGCATCTACTTTAAGATCCTGAGGATCAGCTGAAGAGGAAGAAAACCCCCCAACACTGACTGAGTTAAGACAGGCCTAGAATTCACTTTCCAATGAAATATTTCTCTCCCAAGATATTTACTTACATGTGTCACTCCTCGTCCTCAGGGCATTCCTTGGCATGATACCCTTTGATCCCTTCTGCTGCCTACTTGTGGCTGACTGACATCCCTGAAGGTATTTATTTCAAAGGAAGCCCCATTGCATCTAATGACATTTCCTTCCACATACTGTATGCTTAGGACAGCAGAATTAAATGCCTCAAGGAGAAAGTAAAAGATCATAATGGTGCTTAACAGTAGGAGTAGTTGTAAAGCCTTGGTCAGGTCAGGTCAGGTTTGGGCAAAAGTGAGTAGGAAATGGTCTGCACCTTTCTTCTAGCTAATCTTTGGAGGACACACTTGCCCTGGTGTTTGCTGAAACTCTCGCAAAGAATGCTGGACAAGGTGGATCTTGGGCACATCCTTTCTGGGTGCAAATTGAAGGAAGTGTAAGATTGTTGGACTGGGACTTTGGAGATCCAGGTTCTAGCCCAAGCTTGGCTCTGAAGCTCACCAGGTGATTTTGGGTTGGTCACTGATTCTCAGGCTAGCCTACTTCACAGGGCTGTTATCAGGGTAAAATGGAAAGGAGGAAAAGTATTGTATAAGCTGCCTTAGCTAAGAGATAAATGTAATAGGAAATACATATTACAGGCTACTTGTGCCTTGACTATGAAGAGATTTGGTGTTTCCATTACTCCTTTGTAAACAAATGGATGGATGAAGAGATCCCTTCTTTAGAACATGAAGAAGAGCAAATCAACTAACTTCTGTATTAGTTATTGGAAAGATGAGCAGGTGGCAGTTTGTGAATTCAAGATACAGCCCTCACAATGACTAGGGAGTAAATCCCACTGAGCAGAGCAAGTTACTGCTGAATAATTACCCACAGAAGCCCACTGCTGTTCGAGAGTACTTTGCACCCCTGCTTTGAAAGGCAGTCCCACTGAATGGAATGGGATAGGGCTATTTTTCAGGAAACGTAATAGGATCTCCTTCATGGCTGTACTGCTGCAGGCATGTCCCTGAGAGCAAATCTTGTCACTTACACTGAAACTTCTTTCCATATCTACGCATGGCAGAATCAGTGGAGAAGTCAGTGGAGCTGGGATCCTACGCTTGCTTAGGTTGGAAATAAACCCCACTCAATTCACCAGGACTTCCCTCTGAGGAAACAAGGATAGGGCCAGCTACATCTTCCTGAGGTGCTTTCTGTCCTGCACCCTCTCCCTCAGCTCAGTTCATTGCAGGGATATAATAGCCATGCCTGAAAAGTGAGTGGCCAAAGTCTTTGCGATGGTTTGCATTTTTAGGCTCTAGACTTAAAGTGTCCATAGTTGGGAATTAGCACTAGTAATCCCCTGGGTCTTATTCCCTAGTGAACACACAAAGCCTGGGGCTGTGAACCTAGAGTCCTAAAAGGTCCCTTTGAAAGCAGTGGCACTTCTTGCCCCAGTCAGTATCTTTCCGAAGGAGAGAGGGTAAGGCCGATCATTTGGATGGGGCACTGGATTGACAGCAAATAAATCCCACGGCTCAAGGGATTGGGATACTCTCTCAGCTACAAGCTGCTCCATTGAATTCGGTTCATTGAATTGCGCCCCCCCCCCAGCAAGGTATACCAGCCCTCCTTTGTCCCCCCAGCCTCGTACCTTGAAGGCGATCGGCAAAGTCTTGTTGCACCTCCAGTGGGTCGGCAGGACAGAGCAGAGGAAGTTGGGGCTGTCGGTCCGGACCAGCTCGCCCGGGTGATCGGCTAAGACTTCCACCATGCTGCGGTCTGTGCTTCTCAGCTTGCCCACCAGGGCGCCGCTGCTGTTCTCCTGGCCCACCAGCGGCAGCGTGTCGCTCATCTTGCCCGGACTCAGAGTGGTGGAGGGCGGCGTGAAGCGGCGGCTGGTGCTGGTATCTACGGGGATACGCATCACAACAAGCCTTTTGAGTGAAAAAGTTCCGCAGCGGGCTTCGGACAAAGCGAAAGGAGCTCAATTCTTCAGCCGGCGGCTCTCGGGAGACCAACATAAAAGGAAAGAGGCTTAGGGCCCCGGAGCGAGAGGGGCGAGCGGAGCGAAGCCAGTCCCGAAGTGAATTCGGATCAACAGTTGGACAGAGCAGGGGGACTCTGATTCCTGGTCCGGCCAGTTAATCCAAGCATCCAGTTTCAGGCTGTCCCTGGAAAGGTGTGTGCGCCTCTTGGAAAACTTTGCTTTTTCTAAAAGCCAAAACCAAAACGCCCTGACCCTATAGATTTAGACAAGTTCTTGTTTCTTTGTTTCCTCCCCTCGGGGACTACCAGTGTTATTAAAATCAAAGGCCCTTCCGAAATCCCACACACTGAGAGAAGTTTTGAGAAGGGAAGCTCAAGACATCCGTTCGAAACCACACACACGCAGAGACAAAAGGAGGGAAGGAGCGAGTGGTCTCAGGAGTTAACTTCCTATCATTCTCAAGAGCGATCTTCCTCCCCTCCCACCGCCGTTAAAAGTCGCTTTCGCATCCAGATTGAAAGCATCAGCCTCTTCCCATCGACAGCAGCGAGAAAGAGAAAAGCCGCTTCAGAGGAAACGGGCAGCGGGTCTTCGAAGGAGGTGGCCGGAGGCTGGCAAGGAGGCCAGCGGCTATCACAGCGCTAGAGGCGGCCCGTCATCAAATATTTACAGTCGACTCTACAGAGAGTTTAAACACAGCAGAGATCCATTAGCGGCTCTGGTGCGTCCCCTCCCCGCCTTCCCCGGCAGCCTTGGAAGCCGGCCCCAGCAGCTCGCCCCGCGCCGCTCTTCCGTCCCGCCGCGGCGACGCTTGTGCCTCAGTCGCTCCGTGCGGCGGGGGCGCCGCGCCGCCGCTCTCGCGCAAGTGCTTCCCGCGCGCCGGGAACTCGAAGCACGCGCGGAGGCGAGGAGACGAGAGAGGGGAGAGGCGAGGAGAGGTGCGGCGGGGCGGGGAGGGGAGGAGGGAGGAGGAGAGGTGAGTCCATACGGGGGGGGGGGCAGAAAGAAAAAGCCCTCGGGTTGGCAGGGCTGGTTGGGTTGTGGGTTCCCTCTGTGGTTAATGCGTGCAGCGACTCTGAATACACACACGCCTCTGGAGTCGCCCCACGCTCTGCGGCCGCTGTGTGAGTCACTGCCAAACTCGGAGGGAAATCTCTCAAGCGATCTTCCTCAAATTCAGCCACAGGGGCCGGCTTCTCTCAGCTCTGGTTTAACCACAGCAGGTGGAGCCCTGCCGCCGGGACCATCGTTGCTCCTCTCTCGCGCTCTCTTCCAGCCCCCTCCTGCGCCCCCTTCGCCGCCCCCCGCGCCTCGCTCGCCCGCCCGCCTGCCTGCCTGCCTTCTTCCAACTTCGCACGGCAGGAGCGGCACAAGACAAAACGAAGCGAGTTTTCTTCTCCTCTGCTGAACGAGGGCACTAGCAGCACGCGCGATGGGCAGCTAATAACAACAGCAATCGGAGTAAAAAATCAAACCGGAGCAAGCCCCCGCTCCGATTCAAGAGTCCGAGTCCCAGCAAGGGAGGCTGCCCCTAACGGGTTGCACGGGTTGCACGTTTCCAGCGCGGTAGAGGCTTCACGTGTTCGGCAGACCCCGAGAGCGAGCCTTCCCGATGGCTGCTGCCGGCAGAGGCCAGCCTTCCCAGCGGCGTGTGACCTTCTGCGAGGCGCTGTTTGTTTGCTCACGCTGATCTGAAAAACGCTCCGTTCCCGTCTCCCCCCCGCCGCCGCCTCCGCCTGCGCTTCCTCCTCCGCCAGCCCCTCCCTCTCCCTCGCGCCTTCTGGCTCTATGAATGGAGATTGACTGGAAATGAATTTGCTTTTACAGTAAGAGAGTCCGGAGGAATGTCATTCCCTCAGCTCTTTTGCATAGGGGAGGACGCGGGCCAATCAGAGGCCTTTCCGGTACTGAGCAGGGCGCGGCTGCAACCCAACCGGGCTCCTGGAATTGGCCTGCGCGCCGCCCTTGGAGCTACTGTGAGGGAGCCCGAGGAGAGGCCCGCGTGTCACTGGGACGCCGCGCTCGCCGCAGCGCGCGCCCCGGGAGGCCGAGAGCAGCCCGTGTGTGGCGGCGGCGGCGGCGGCGGCGTGTGTGCAGACCGCGCGGCCGCGCAAGGCGGGCGGCGGTCGCGAGGCGCGCGCCGGCGGACGAGCGCTCGGCGTCCCCTTGCGCGTGGGCGCCTCGAGGGAGCGGCGCAAGGCCTCGGAGGCTGCCCCCGAGCGGGCCGGGCGCCCGACTGCCTTGACCGGCGCGCCTGCACCCCTCACCACGCGTCTTCACTGGACCCACCCGGACGGTGTCACTCGGTCGCTTGAGCGCGAAAGGCCACCCCAAGAATAGGGCTGCGCCCTCCTCCACTGGGTCACCCCGCTCGTTCCTGTCTGGACGGGCCGCAAGAAAAAGCGAGAAGTTGCACACTGGAGGCTTTGTCCAGCCGGAACATGCAAAGGACTGGGCCAACAGTCAGTCACCTGTTGCATTTCTGCCGGTTATGCGGCTGTTAAAGACACAAAAGGGAAAGCATACACGCAAAGGCTAGAAACTAAGGGCCAACTGTACTCACACTTCCTGCCTTCCTTCCGTTGTGCAGAGACAGTCAGAGCATGTAAATACAAGTGCACGCTTTCCAAAACACTGCAGCACAAAAAAGAAAGGAGCTTTACTTGTTTTGTTTGTTTGCTTTTAAAGAAAGGTCCTACTTCAAGTCTCCTCGGACCTGCTCCTCACATATCTAGAGTTTATACCCAGATTTCAATATGCAATAGGCAGTGTTCTTTTTGAGACGCTTTAAAAGTTGCTTTGAAAAAGTTAGCCAGGGTAGCACAGTCACTGAAGCGTTCTGTAGATCAGTAATACAGATAGTAACATTTTGCTAACTCTTCAACAAAGCAGTTCAGGGAATAGGCCAGATGCAAGAAGTTTTAGGTCCATTGCACAGGGCAGCCTTCCCAACCTGGTGCTCTCCCAGTGTGTTGGACTGCGAATCCTGGGGCCCCAGATGAGACAGTCTGGCATAGGCCAGGCCTTTTTAGCTCTCTCCCTCCCATGCCTTCCTTTCTAGGCAACTGGAACTCCCCCTGAATCACTTAACATGCTCTGGAGTGGAGCCCTATCACTGTGAAAAATAAATGGTGTCTCACATTAAGATCTGATACTTCCTGGACTCCTATTTTCTATTTTGTGTCTTGCGGGGGAAAGGGAACAATCTGGCTGCATAATGATAGTGTGACTGAGAGACAGTGCAGTCCAGCAAATAAATTAGAAAGGAAGTTGTCAAAGGCTAGCAAAGGAGCGCATTTCTGCGGGAGGATGTAGATCCAGGTTCTTGATAGGCACAGCCTTTCAAGTTCTTAGGGATGACCTGAGCCTTAAGATCCAATTGTTATAAGGAATATCACTTTTTTCTACAGCCTAGCAGCTCTGCATGGCATTATGTCTATGATTCCCAGCTCTGCAGTTCTTTAGAACTTCTTCTGCTTGAGATTTTTATCTGGCAGTCTTGCCTGACACAGACGACATTAATTAGAACCATATTTTTGACCAGGCCAAATAAGTCCATATTACTGTGTCCAGCCTGAGAGAGATGCATTGTTTTGTCTAAATCATCTGAGAAAAGCATGTATAAAGAGAACAGTATAATTTCTTTACCACTGTGGCATTGGCTCTCTTCCACTGCTCTTCTGTCACACAGCAGTAAGTCAGTTGTTAAGTACAGCGGAATGACTGTTGACCTCATGTGTTCACCTAGTGAACTTCGCTCATGAAGTTCACTAGGTGAACCTGAGCTAGTCTCCATCTCTCAGCCTAAACTAAGTCACAGCTAATTGCAACAGCAACAGGAAAGACCATGCACAGGACCCTGAGCTCTTTGGAGGAAGGCTGGGATAAAAAAGTCAATATATGATTGCCATATGTGGGGAGTGGCTTTAACTAATTGCAGAGGGCATGTTTTGCATGCTGGAGGGCCCTGGTTCAATCACTGGCATCTCCAACTAGATGTCTGGGAAGCAGGTGACATGGAAAACCTTCTGCCTGCAGTACTGCCAGATGGAGTAGGCGGTGCTGGACTGGATGGATAAACAGTTTGACTTCAGTGTAAAGAAAGCAGGTGATGTTCCTTTGTTTGCACGACTGCTCAAATGAAGTGCTGCACTACGTGTCTTAATATAGCCACTCCACAAACATCTTTGCCAGTCACTGTTTGTGTATTTCTAAATGTTCCAGGGGTGATTGAGGGTATTTTCTCACCAAAATAAGCTGGCTCTGTTTAACCAAAGGAAAATTACAAGAAAAGGCTGCTTAGCTTCCCCTTTTGAAAAACACAGCCTCTAGCCTATTGGCTTTGTTTCCCCTTGTCCCTTTTGTCTTAAATCCTACCACAACTGGCATATACTCCAAATTACCTGTTGTTGTCTCTCATGGATAAGTAAGCCAGTTACTATTCAGTTAGTAATATGACCCTTGAAGAGGACAGTGTGTACATAAACTGCAAGTCAGATCAGCCAGTGAATGACCCCTCTGAGATTATTTCAGTGCTATTTCCAAAAGGTTCACATTCAGTACATGACAAACACACAGCCTTGCAAAACCAAGGTGGGGGTATTTATATTCAAGCCATTCTCACACAACTTTCACGAGCACAGCGCCCGTCCATGCCCTAGAAGGAGCTGACCTGGGCTCCCCCTGCTGCCTTGTTTTCCTAAAGGAAGATAATTCCTTGGGGTCAAGGGCAGATTAAAAGACCCTTCAAAAGTAAATAAACATCTGGGTGGTTGCAGGTGAAATGTGGTGTGTTCATGACAAATATGTTCTATTTGTATTTTTAGCAGTGAATTAGTGTCTTCTGGCTTTCTTTCATTCTTGTGTCAACAGGCTGGCCCATCCTTCCAGAATTCAATATCTCTGAATATCCTTCAAATAT